GGCTACATCCTTCTTAGCCAAGGTCCCAGAGACCGGACTGAGACACTCACTTTCAGGCTCAAATAGCTCCTGGCTAGAGCGTTGCTTGATCGGGCTGTTGCTAGCGGGCTCTTCGGTGTCATCGATACCGCCTTCTTCGGAGCCCTTGTCGCGTTGCGACTTGGTCCTCAATGGCTGGACAACGATGTCATCCGTTTGGCCGTCATGTGCATTTTCTGCCTCCGCTCGCGAACCCTCGTCATCGTTGAAGGACGCCGCGTCATCCAAGTCCTCATCGCTGGAGTACTCGATATCGGACGCCTCGATATACGTCGGAGCGGTGAACTGGACGTTTTTGGTTGTTCTGCGACGCACCGCCCTCATAAGCGGGTTCTTCGATTTCTCTGAATTGTCTCCGAGCATGGTTGCCGAAAGCTACCACAGATAGTATCAGTAACTGGCCGAGATCCGGCGACGGTCACACTCACATCCACGTTGCGATGCTTGTTCAATCTGGCGAGTCTCTCGGTCGGAGTTTCAATGTGTTCGGCGGGCAGATAGCCTGCTTACGGTGAGCCTAGATATACCTATACCAGCAGGTGACCTACCAATGCTGCCGTCTTTGACAATCCGCACGAGCCACCAGTAGCTGTTGCTGTCATCCAGCAGCACCATGGTGTCACCCTTCGAGGCGTTCGCCTGTCCGTCGACGGTCGCGTAGAAGTTGTGCAGCGCATAGACGAATTCGAAGTCAATATCCTCTAGGCTTGGGTTAGATTGGACCGTGATTGGGGCCTCGAAGGGCAGAGAGTGCCCAGTAGCCGGAGATTTCTGCAGGGTGACATGGTGATGAACGCAGGAGGCCAGACATACCGTCGTCAATGGACGGAGAGCTCGAAATCTTATCCATCATATCGTCATCTAGCATGTCATCACTTTCGCCGTCGGCCAGATCGCCTTCTTCATGTTCACCGGAAAGATCGCCGTGGTGATCTATATCCTCAATCTCCTCGTCGTCGTCGTCGTCATCATCGTCATCGTCGTAGATATCGATGCCGTCGGCGCGGATGTCACCAGGTTGGCCGTCCTGGGCGCTGGGACCATGCATGATTTCAGCTTTGGTATTCTGGTCGGCCTGGCGAAGCGCTTGTTCCTGGTGGGGGGCAATGCCCGATGCATTCATGGGCTGTCTGGAGTGATCCTTGGCGGAAGGGGCATGCTGGTCCTGTAGGTCCATGGTATCTGTCATCATACATTTGCTGATCAGCACGATGGCCACATGACTTCCACTCGTTGCACATACCAGCCCGGACAATCCGAGGCCTTGTCATTTTGACTATATTTCGCGCCTGCGAATTTACTGGTCGAGATGGCAATTGGTTTGACGTTCCGGGGGCGAAAGAGCGACTTTTGGAATCATGAACATTGAAACCCGATGGCGAATGTAGATCGGCACGGCGCAGCGTCCCGGTGCAGCTCGAAAAGAAGGATAGTCAAGAGCGGTCGGCGCAAAGAGTTGCAATAGCAAAAAGTGGAAGTAAATTTCCAGGGACGAAAGAACGAAGGCGACGGCCACGAGGAGCAACGGCGGGGGTGGGTACTTCAAGTCCGACCAGGGGGGGGGGGAGGGGAGGAGAAGGAGGAGGGAGGGGAATTCGTCGGGCAAACAAGACGAAAGGGAAGGGAACGACTTCCAGAGCGGATTAAACAACACCAAAACAAAAACAAATTTTAGAAAAGAAGGGCAAACAACAATAGCCAGAACGCCAATGTTATTGGGGAAAGAAGGGAAATTAGGTACCAGAAGAGGTGCCGGGTGGGTGAATGGGACAAATGTGAAGCCCAACGCAACGCAACGCAACGCAACGCAATGCAACGCAACGAGTTCCCCGGACTGATTTCAAGCATGCAAGAGAATAGGGGAGGAGGGGAGGGAGGTTCCTCCCAAAACAAGCGCCCCTTGCGCGCGCTTACCCACAGCTTTACTTGCCCGATGGACGGGCTCCGATCCCGTGCCTGGACCGCCCAGTAGGCCAGAGATGAACTTGACCAGATACAGATAACTTACAGGTAACAGCAGGGCTTAGGGCCCAGGGTCAGGGCCCATATCTTCAGGTGATAAGTGATTCCAGATGAAAGATCAAAAGATCCACCACCATGGATAATCTGAACTCTGAACTAATCCAACCTAGGAAGCCTAAGAACAGCCCGGCGGGTCTGCGACCACCACCACCACCACCACGGAGTACTACGCAGCGTGGCTGTGAATGGCTGATCCCTCCGTCACCTTACATTAGACTATCACTTAGCTGACCAGTGTTGACCAGTTGACTGTCAGGCAATGGAATCTCCTCCGTCATCACCCGAAGATTCCCCCACTCACTTGCCTCTTTGGGACCCTTCTTCTCCCGATCTTTTCTCTACTCTGTACTCTACACCTTTTTTCCCTTTCTTCCTTTCTTCCCATTCATCATCATCATCATCATCATCATCAATCAGTCAATCAGTCAATCAGTCAATGATTCGATGGGCCCTCCTTCCTGCTGCTGCAGAAGGATTGCTTTTTTTGGTCCGATCAGCTCACTCAGTGACGCTAAGCTGCACCTTGGTGCACTGAATCCCTCATTTCTGGGGGTTGTTCCTTTCTTCGTTTCTTCGTTTCTTCTTTTGGAGCTTAGCTTCCCTCCTATCGGATCGGGACCCTCCGATAACTAACTTAACTGCCTTTACTAAGTACTTCTTACTCTTCTTCTCCTCTTTTTGTCCCTCTGCGACTCCCACCCTCCGACCACTACCACTACCACTACCACCACCTCCACCTCCTCCTCTCGATCAGATCTCACCCCTCTCGACACTCACCTTCATATTCACCATCCACCATCCACCACCCACCCTTCTCCTTTTCCTCTTTCATGCTTCTCACTCCCTCCCTCTAAAAAGTCTTCTACAACTTGATCTAGAGATAGACCTCTTTTCTCCACCTCGTCATTCCTCTCTTCTTTCCATAGACTTGCCGCTCTTCTGGCGGGTGGAAGGGCATGGCTCAGACGGGAAGACCCAATACACTGGCAGGGTTGAAGCTTGAGACGTCTTTCCAACATACACCTCGACCCCGATGGCGGGGTGAGGCTGAAGGCGGAGGAGCGACGGATGGCGATCGTACAAACATCTTTCACGATTATCACCCACCCCGTGGCGGTACTAATCAAGACAGCAGTGTTTTGAGTGGCTTACACTCGGCGACACCTCCTATCTCCGTCCCTCGTCATCATGATCTTTCCGACCCAGAAGATGTCAGCTATCCTCACAAACCCGAGGATGTGCAGGCCTCCCCGCTGGACAGCTTTCTGCAGCAAGAACGCCGGCCCTCGATCAGCTTTGACCCCATCGTGGCCCTGGACTCCGGTCGACGCCTGCCTCTCGAAGAGCCTCTGGCCGGTCGGCCGCAAAAGTTCCAGTCGCGCAGCTCGAGCTTGAGGAACACTCTCCGTCAAGAGGACGGACCCGACGATCACGACCGCCAGTCGGACCTTAGCTCAAGTCCGGAAAGGCAGCGACGCCAGCGGCCCATCCCGACCGGTTCTTCGCGGGGCAGCTTTCCGGAAGAAGAGGAAAACGCCGTAGCCTCGGAGATCGAACACCCGACCTCTCTCACCTCGAGATCAACCGCGTCCCCGATGACTGAGGAAATCCGAACTCCGTCGGAGGGTTCAAGGATACTGTCTTCGCCGGTTTACATGGCGTCGCCCGTACAGGGGTTTGCCTCGCTTGACGATCGCAGCTCTTGGTCGGGAAGTGCTGTGACTCCCTTTGGGAGCAAGGCAAGGGGCCTTCGTCTTTCTACTCGACAACGGTCGCGCAGATCTACCGCTTCTAGTGGCAAGTCTCCTGCCAGCATGTTCCTTTCCATGTGGAGCGCCGGTGGGGAGGAGTCCGCGCCGCAACCTGATGACGAAGGCCAGATGGTCGGGACGGATTATGTCCTTGGCAAACAGATCGGCTTCGGGGGGTTCAGCACCGTGAAAGAAGCGTACAAGGTCGAAGAGGATGGCAAGACCAAACACCTCGCCGTCAAGATCGTCAAAAAACAGGTCTCGGGCAAGAGTGAGAAGGAGAATGACGAGGTCCAAGCAGAATTCGACCACGAAGTCCGGGTTTGGCGCTATCTCAGCCACCCCAACGTCCTGACCTTGGATGCTGTGTACGAGACTGATTTTGCTACGTTTTGTTTCACGAAGCTGGCGATCGGCGGCACTCTTTTCGACCTTGTCCGCCAAAATCGAGGTGGTCTGGACCTCAAGCTTGCCAAGAAGTACTCATACCAGCTTGCCTGTGCACTTCGATACTTGCATGAGGACGCTCGGGTTGTGCATCGGGATATCAAGCTGGAGAACTGCCTGCTGGATCCCACCGAATCGCCCGATGGATCCGAGGTCTCAACCCTAGTGCTCTGCGACTTTGGCATGGCGGAGTGGATGCATACGGACAACGACGGCTCGTCGCCTGATCCCTACGATAATGTGGCGGATCGACCGCCTCCGAAGAATATCGGGCCGGCTGGATCCAGCACCAGCGTTGCGGGAAGTCTGGAGTATGCATCCCCGGAGCTGCTCCTCTCGACCAACGGAGTCATCCATCCTTCGGTCGATCTTTGGGCGTTTGGAGTCATCGTCTACACCATGATCGTTGGCTCCCGGCCGTTTCAAGATCCGTTCGCGCCGCGCATCCAGAACAACATTCTCAATGGGCACTGGAACCATCACGCCGTCCTTGGCGGTGAAGAAGCGGATGCTCCCACTCGGCAGGAGCGGGAAGATGCGCTCGAGGTGGTTACAGGATGTTTGCAGATGGATCCGGCCAAACGCTGGACCATCCGTGATGTACTTTGCTCGCGGTGGATGCGAGAGTTCTCTCAAAACGCCGACGGCAGCCCCACCGAGTCCATTTGGAAACTATGAGGAAGAATGGGCTGCAGTGAAGCCTTGATGGCGCTATACTTATGACCTTTAGATGACTACGGGCTAGCGCGCGCGCATTGCGCCTGGTTCTTCATCCATGATACCCTCTTTTATGTTCACAGCGGGTTTATGATATATCCAGTATTTGACTTTTGAGCGCGTCTTTCGGTATACCTTTTGTTTTGTGAGAAATGAAGGCTTGGGAGCATACACAATTTGCAAGGCAATTGCATGGCGTTTTTTGGAGGGTATTTTCCTTGGGGTGTATTGATATCCAGGTGGCTTTTCTGTTGCGGTTGTTGCGAACGACCGGCTTCCACTGTGACGGTGACCTTGCTAATGAGGGGAGAACGAGCACGGGAAGTTTGTCAAGATATCGAGAATGCTCCACTATACGAATGTTAATGACTCCACTATCTTTTTGAGGCTGTACGCTGCTAGGCGTAGCTACTGGAACCGCGCACAAGATCAACATACATAGCTGGTTTCTTCGGACTGGATCTAGGTGGAATCAGTTATCAGTTATGCTGGCTGTTCTGAGTGCTTCTGCCAGTATCTCTATAGCCTGTAGCCGCAATAGAGGATCGATAGCAAATGACGGTTCAGTTTGAGGTGGAAATCTGCATACCTGCCAACCTGGACTTGGCAATCAACTCACCCACTTGCTTGACTGAGGTTTAGGGATTTTTACCAAGTGCAACCACACTACGCCATCCACGATAATACACGAAGAAGAAAAAGAAAAAAAGAAAAGAAAATGCATATCCACGATAACCATACAACAAAAACATATTTATACAAATACAAGAGAGAACAGCCAAAGGTCTTTCAAAAGTCCAAACAACCCTTCACACACACACCTTACAGAAACCGCACACATCAACCCCCAACTATACCGAAACCTCCCGTCCTTCCCCAAAACAATCAACCCAGACCCAAGACAGCCTACCACAACCGATTCTCGGGCAGGACCTTCTCCTTGTGCGCGCCGGCGGCGGTCTTGCGCTCGACGGGCGACCGGAAGAACAAACTGGGGCCCTCCATGGGCTTGAGCAGGTGGCTCAGGTAGCCGCGGTGGGCGGGGTCACGGTAGTACTCGATGTCGCGGCGCTTGGTGGGGTCGGGCAGGCGGTAGGTGAAGCCCATGGCGCGCATGATCTCGCTCTCGACGAGCTGGCCGGCGGCGTCGCTGTCGAGGCCCTCGGCGGCGAGGAGGCCGGCGGGGGCGCTGCGCGCCGTCCACGCCGTCGACACGAACGGGTGCATCTCGCGCTTCAGGATGCGGCGGATCGCGCGCGGCGTGTAGAAGCGCGTGGTCACGGTGCCGCCGGCGGCTTCGACGGCGGCGATGGCGGCGGCCGAGGCGCGCGAGACCACGATGTGGATGGGTTGTTTGAGGACGTTGATGGTGGTGTCTTCGGATGTAGAGGTGGAGGAGGAGGGGG